GGGGAGGGGCTGAGGCACTCAGGGCGTCGAGAGGGATCTCCGGCGACGGCGATCGGGGATGAGCTCGGTGAGGCATCTCCGGGGCGTGCGAGCGCTCGGGGCTTGGTCGAGGCGAAGTGGCAGACGACGGCGGAGATCGTGGGCAGCACGGGGAGGCGAGGGGAGCACGGTGGACGCGGCTATTGCGGCAGCGAGCTCGCGGCTGCGTCGGCCATGGCAGAGAGAGGAGAGGGAGAGAGCCAGGGGGAAGTGAGGTGTCCAGGCGGTCGAGGCGATACCGAGGAGAAGACGCGAGGCGTCGCGCTGGCCAGGCGACACATGCAGGTAGCCTGGTGGCATGGCGCCCGCACGCGCGCCGTGCGTTGTCCCTCCTCTGCCTACTGGCAGAGGTAGGCGATGACTGGCACGGGCCAGCACAGTGCTGGGCCGGCCAGTGGGCTGCCAGGTGGGCTACGCCAGGTAAGTGGGCTGGGTTCTTTTTCCTCTCCCTTTCTTTTAATTTATGTTTTTTTATTCTGTAACTTTAGGGCTTTATTAAAAATACCAAAACAATCTCAAAAATCATGAAACTGCTCAAGGCTACTGTTTGGAATATTTCCAACGGTAAAAAATTTAGTTCATGAATATTTGGACATTTAAAATATTATATAGCATTTAAATGCCCAAATGCAAATAGCATATGATTTAATTCAGTGACCCAATGTTGTCCTAGAAAAATGTGAACCATTTTTGTTAGAGGTTCTAGACCAAGGCAAAGATGATGAACATTTTTGAAGGACATTTCAGGTTCATAGAAAAAGTATTTTAGTAACCCTAGTTGGATTAAGTGGGTGCTGGGGGTTCTGTCGTCCCCATTTCAAGTTTCTGAGGGAAAGTAAACATGATGCATGGAGATTATGCAATGACAGGCAAGACTAAGCTAGGGCTGTGACAACTCACCCCCACTAAACAAGAATCTCGTCTTGAGATTCAAGCATAGGGTAAGATGAAGGGCGAACGGAGAGGGGGAGGACGGGCGGCAGCTCACAGGGATCGTCGTGGAGTGAATGGCGAGCTCGGGGAGGGGCTGAGGCACTCGGGGCATCGAGAGGGATCTCCGACGACGGCGGTCGGGGATGAGCTCGGTGAGGCATCTCCGGGGCGTGCGAGCGCTCGGGGCTCGGTCGAGGCGAAGTGGCAGGCGACGGCGGAGATCGTGGGCAGCACGGGGAGACGAGGGGAGCACGGTGGGCGCGGCTATTGCGGTAGCGAGCTCGCGGCTGCGTCGGCCATGGCGGGAAGAGGCGAGGGAGAGAGCCAGGAGGGAAGTGAGGCGTCCAGGCGACACCGAGGAGAAGATGCGAGGCGTCGTGCTGGCCAGGCGACACAGGCAGGCAGCCTGGTGGCGTGGCGCCCGCGCACGCCGTGCATTGTCCCTCCTCTGCCTATTGGCAGAGGTAGGCGATGACTGGCACGGGCCAGCACAGTGCTGGGTCGGCCAGTGGGCTGCCAGGTGGGCTGCGCCAGGTAAGTGGGCTAGGTCCTTTCTCTCTCTCCCTTTCTTTTAATTTCTGTTTTCTTTTATTCTGTAACTTTAGGGCTTTATTAAAAATACCAAAACAATCTTAAAATTCATGAAACTGCTTAAGGCTATTGTTTGGAATATTTCCAACAGTAAACATTTTAGTTCATGAATATTTGAATATTTAAAATATTATATAGCATTTAAATGCCCAAATGTAAATAGTATATGATTTAATTCGGTGATCCAATGTTATCCTCGAAAAATGTGAACTATTTTTGTCGGAGGTTCTAGACCAAAGCAAAGATGATGAACATTTTTGAAAGGCATTTCAGGTTCATTGAAAAACTATTTTAGTAATTCTAGTTGGATTAAATGGGTGCTGGGAGTTCTCTTATCTCCATTTTAACTTTTTGAGGGAAAGTAAACATGATGCATGGAGATTATGTAATGACAGGCAAGACTAAGCTAGGGCCGTGACACCCATGCACAGTGGCTACATCACCACGTTCCAGATCACCGTAGCGTGGTTGCTCCCCTGCGCCGTGACGATGGCGCTCGACGCGTCGGCGGCCGTCGGTCACAAGCACGAAAACTCGTCGTCGCCGCGGGCGTCGAGCGTGGGCGGCCAGGCGGCGGCCGTGTCGTCGTCGGCAGGATCCTTCCCATCCGCGTCCTCATCGACCTCCTCGCTCGGCGACGGGGTCGGGTTGCAGACGGTGCCTCTTCAGCGCAGCTGGTCCGCCTCGCCCAAGTGCTTCGGCGCGCTCGGCGGCAAGAAGAAGAAGGAGGCCGTGCCGAAGGGCGACGTGGTTCCGGCATCGCCGTCCACCGAGAACCGGAAGGGGCACCGACAGCGAAAGAACCGGCGGTCGCCGCCAGCCGGCGATGCATCCGTGTCGGGCTCCTCCAGCCCCGCTTCCTCAACTGCCTCCTCCTCTGTCGGGGATCGGCTCGGGTTCAGAACGTCTCATCAGCCGCAAGCTGCCGCGGGGCTCCAATACCAGCAATGCCCGCGCGCGCTCGCCGGGGTGCAGTAGGAGACGAAGGGCGGCGGTGTAGGCAGCTACCTGCGCGAGATCTCGAGGCGGCTGAGGCGGGGCGGCACGGAGAAACCGCCGCCGCCGACGGCGAGGATAGCCTGCACCGGCGGAGGGCGGAAGCGCGGGAACGCCATCGCGTCACAAGAAGAAATGCGGGCTTTCGTTACTGCGAGTGCCAGAATCATCGAAAGAAATGGGCCGCCCGTGTTGCCATTAGGTTTATTCTGACAAATAAATTGTTCAGGTGTTTGCTTATGAACTCTACTTTGAAGTTTGAACCTCAAAGCAGAATTATGATATAGTGATTTGGGATGGTGTAAATTTGTAAGTAGCCAACAAGGAGGAATGCTTCTGATTCTTGTTTATACAAGAGCAGAGGATTTGTTGTAGGCGTGCTTATATATAGAGAGAGAGAATGAAATAAAAGTTGTACATGTTGGTACCAGATTAACGGAGCCGTCATGATTCATGAATCTTAAGCAGCTGTAGTTCAGGTTTAGGATACAATTGAGTCAACCCGAGCATCGCTTTTAGCACTATCGCACTTGCACATGTTTTGGCGGCAAATCGTTTAGGCTCATCGCTCATCTGACGTCGAGTAGTTTTTTTTTGAGAGAGAGAATGACGTCGAGTAGTTAACACCTCTTGCCTCAGCTCATGGGCCGAAGCTGTACCTGACGTAGATGCCAAGGCTAAACAGGACGAGCACCGCGCCAACCACGCTGGTCACAAGCTTTCTCCGTTCAGGGAGGTAGCTGTATCCGCGGCCTGACGCCGGCGCCGGTGCCTCCACTCCTTGGACGCCGTCGGCAGGGGTACCTTGTCCTTGATCAAGGCGGCCACTATCTTTCACCGCGTCGGCCCCGCGCTCCTCCACCGGCTGTTTCTGCACGTTCTCATCTTCCTTGTCTCCTGCTCGAACGCCGGAAGCATCGGCCTTGGCCGCCGGGGGCACCTGCTTGCCGGAGACGTCGCCGACCGCGGCCGCAGGCCCCGTCCTTAGCCCGGGCATGGTGACCCGCACGACGCCGCCCTCGAACCTCGCGTGGATGCCCTTGAGGTCGCAGCCGTCGGGCACGCGGAACTCCAGCCGGAAGCGGCTCCAGCGGTTGCCCGCGACGGCGCGCTCGCCGCGCACGACCACTAGCCCGTGGCTGCGGACCAGCTGCACCCTGATGTGCTCCTTCTTGTACCCTGCAATCGGCACCTCGTAACTAAATCAACACAAGCTGATCCCGGCATATACAACTCATGCGATGGTACTAATATGTAGGGGGGTGCGGTGCGTGCCTGCGGCGGTGAGATCGACGGAGAGGGTGTGGGTCGCCGGCTCGGTGACCATGTTGTGCGGCGGCACGAAGTCCTCGTACGCGCGGCCGGGGGCGGCAGCGGGGGCGGCCATCACTGATCCCTGTTGAATAACGTGTTGGGTCGCTGAGGAATGTAGCTGGCGAGTATGCACTGCTTGGTTGCAGAGGCTACGTGCCTATACATTTATATGGTTGGACACTTGAGCTGGCGTGTCCTAGAGGCGGGGGAGTTAGAAACCCTTACCCTTCACAGTAGAGAAGGAACTTGTCAGGTGGTGATACCTTGTATCCTGTTCTGGACCACTTCTTCTCCGGCATCGCATCTCCCATGGGCTTGCCAACACGCACGATCGCTGCATGTGACGATTGGACGGACATCCCTCAACTGAAGCATGCATGTCCCGGGACGCAAGCCACCGGCTGACCCTGACCCTGACCGACATTACAGACTCAAGCATGGTATAAAGCAGCATCACAAAACCCAGACCACCGCGAAGGGTGAATAAACGAAAAACTAAAATAGTACTCCCTCCGCCCAAAAAATAAGTGACTCAACTTTGTAATAGTTCTAGTACAAAATTAGTACAAAGTTGAGTCACTTATTGTGGGACGGACGGAGGGAGTACGTACTAATTACATGGAACGCTCAAAACCAGGTAACCTCATGCTACAACTGTCTATCTACATGACTTTGCTCTAAGAAATGACCAACCCAACAGCAAACTCCTAGACGGGATGTACAACCCAGCTATCAATCAATCAAATAAACCAAGCAATGATTCCCGAGCTAGCTGGTAGGTACTCTACTGAGCTAAATAAAGCATCTAACTGAGCTCATCCTGTGGAAACAGAGGCTGCTTCAGAAATGCATCCTTCAAAAGGGAGGATGTTTGCCGCTGTCCGCTGAATCTTCTATGTGCCGCTTAAACCTCCTCCAAAGAAGCACCTCTTCAGCAGCTTTCGCCTAGGAAGTAGGCTAACAGTTGCATTGTTGCCCCTAAAAAGAACAGTTGCTCTGACAGGAAAGATTTCGTCTTCCAGTTTCAACCAACATGCTCAACTTGGGACACTGGGCAAACACACAACAAGAGTGTCTTCCAGTCTGTGAATGACAACCATCAGTAGGCTCGTGGATCCACTCCCCAGTCACCACTGATACTTGGCAGCAACAAGAACCTCCTCATAGCGTTTAGCAGCAGTGTCCCAGCTTAGGTCCTGCATCATCCCTCTCCTCCGGAGTCCCTCCCAGCTAGACTTGTAGTTCCTGTACGTGTTCAGGCAGTGCCCCAGCGCATCGATCATCCTGTTTGCTTCCGCATTTTCAAAAGTCCAACCAAGCCCAGCCTCCTCATATGGATTGTAGTGCTGGACGGTGTCTCGAAGGCCACCCACCGCATGCACCACCGGCACGGTCCCATACATCATTGCATAGAGCTGGTTCAACCCGCAAGGCTCGAACCTTGACGGCATCAACAGTATATCAGTTCCTGCGGTCATACGATGAGCCAACCTGACAGAGAAACCAACCCAACCCCTAACACGGTCGTAGTGCTGGCTTTCAAGCCTCCTCAGTGTGTCTTCAAGGTCTTGCCTCCCGGTACCCAGCAGTATTACCTGTACATCTTGACCAGCTATCCATGGCATTGCTTCTGCTATCAGGTCTACGCCTTTTTGATTGTCTAGCCGTCCGATGAAAGCAATCACAGGAACATCCCCACGAACCGGGAGACCAAGCTCTTTCTGCAATGCCGCTTTACACTGTGCTTTACCTGTTTCAACAGTTACCAGAGAATAGTTGCTGTATCCATCTGATTTCAGGTGGACATCACACCTAGGATTCCAATCAGTGGTATCGATACCATTTACAATGCCTTGGAATTTCCAATCACTTTCATTAATGATCCCATGAAGGCCCCAACCACCTTCAGGCGTTTTGAGCTCCCATGCATAACCATGGCTAACAGTAAGTAAACGGTCCGCAGCTTTAATTCCAGCAGCAAATATGTTTAGATGATCACCTCCAAATGGGTCGTGATGTTTGAAAAGGTCCAAGTAGTTACTGGGCAAATCCAGGTAACTGAAATCGTCCAAGGGGCCACGGCCCTGGAACAGAAATTAAAGTTAACTCATCTTGATGGATCATATGTTTGATAGAGAACAATTGTTACACCAAAGCAACAAACAGACTAGGATTACAAATTTACACTATAGAACTACCCAAGGCTGGAAAGTGGAAACAGAAGAAATTATAATGACAACATAAGGTAACTGATACTGTTGTTGTCATCTGTAACTGTGACTGTAAGGAACTACTTTTATGAAGACAATGTACACTAACTGATATGTTGTGCTCTCCAGTAAAAGACGTCTTTTCTGGATCCTTGTGAGGATAGGATGTATTACATGTTTTGCTATATGAGTGACTATTTTTTAAATTTCTCCATTATTGAATAACTATGTATATATTGTTTGTGAATTGGCAAAATTAAAGCTCGTAACAGCATTCCAGAAACCATGTCCATCTTGATGACATCCACGGAATGCTCATTTCCATGTAAAATCCACGGAATACATAGCAAAAGTGTGGGACAAATACTAAAATACATATCAGATAAAAGGTGAGATTAAGGGGAAGAAACGTTACCTGATGTGCTATATTGTGTATCACAAGGACAGAGCGGGCATATATCATGAAACCATTGTCACGATAATAAGCCTTCAAATAAACAGGCAGTAATGCAGTGTGCCAGTCATTTGCTATGAATACAAGATTTCCATCGCCGTAGCAAAAACCACCACATGGAACACACCATGGAGCCTAGATCAAGGTCATTACGTTTTCTATTAGCATATTGAGGAAGAAAGATGCCAATCATAGAAAAAGCAGAGCAAAACAATGTTAATGTACATGTTAAGTGTTTGTGTACTTATTTCCATGAAATAAATGTACATGTTCTTATGGATTATCAGTGCCTGGAGAGAGAAATGGCTTAGCCGCAAGAGAATTTACCTCTACAGCTGCTTTGCACAATAAGATCATTCGTTTCAAGATATCCTGCAGAAAAAAATTGACCTACTCGTCTCAATAATAAGCAACCCCAAAAGGCAAAGAGAAGACAACTGGCTGCTACAACATAAATATCATCTCAGCTTTTGCAAATATGCAATTTAGTATAGTAAGCAGAATATTACATTACTTACTGTTCGGTCTCCACCATAAATTTCACTCTCAACATTGTGGAAGATAGGATTGTCGATAAACACAAAATCCACGCCATCTATGTATGCATGATAATATTTTACCTCCATATCCTGTACAAAGAACGTGTTTTCAAAAGGAATTATTACTATCACAAGATAAAGCTATTACGAACAAGAGGGGAAAGCACCTGCCCTGCGACCTGGTACCTCTTTGGTTCTCCTATTTGGCGAGGTTCTTCATAGTTCCCATACATTGGTACTATCGCCTGTAAATGTATACATGTAAACAAGTTACCAAAGGTGCAACTGAAAGGTAGTCTATTTAGCATTCAAGTACTTCCACCCCGCGATCAAGCGGCTCAGCCGCCGAATGTGACTTGCGAGACGGTACCAGCCCGTAGCAGGGCCTTTCCCCACATCCTTTGGTCACCGTATCCTGGCTGTGTCGTGTCACTATGGTCCTCTCCTGCGTCTCCTTGGTGGGTGGTCGACTGTGCCAGCGGGGCTGCCCGGCGGAGCATCCAGCGGGGATCAACAGGTGGCCCAGATCTGTGTGGCCACTGCTCCATCAGATCTGGCCGGCGTCTTGCCCCCATGCTGCCGGGCACCTCTTCGGCCTGACAGCCGCAGGCAGCTAGCTGGAGGCGGCAGGCAGCAGCAGGCCAGTTGGTGGTGCTGCAGGTGACTCCCCTCCCCTTAGACGTGATTGTGTGCTAATCCCTTGTCTACGACGGTGGACAACTTCAGCAAGCTGCTTCCCTGTCTCTGCCCTGACCCGCTCACCTGCTCCCTCCCCGATGGACATGGTGGCGTTGGTGGTCTTTTGTGGTCAGCGATCAAGAGCCAGGGTGAAATCCTTGCCCAGCCACAACCATTGTTGATGATGGCTAGCGAAACTGAGCGGCGACGGCGGCGCCACAGCGTCGTTCTCCTTGGAGGCGCCGTTGTGGTAGCCCATGGAGCCCTCCAATGTGGCGGCATGAGACAAGAGCCCTCTTGTAACAAGGATGCATCTTCTTTTCTCGAAGCTCATCTCCTAAGAACCTTCTGGTTAAGCGTGCTTGGCTGAGAGCAATATGGGGATGGATGACCGACTTGGAAGTTTCCCGGGGCGCGCACGAGTGAGGACAAAATGTGCCGGCAAGACTCGTGTTGGTCTGTGGGGCTAATCCTGAGCCTAATGATAGCCGGGAGTAATGACTACCAGCCAAAGGGTGGTGTTACAAAATGGTATCAGAGACGACCATCATGGTTACACAGGCATGTGTGGGTTAGGGGTGCGGGCATGTGGCGCATGGCACGTGTGGGCCCCTCAAGGCGCACGACATGGCACAGTACCGGCACCGAACGCATGAGCGTGTTGGTGCAGAGCAACCCATGGACATCACCATGGACCCTACACAAACACCCCAAGTGCCAAGTGGACCGATGACTAGAGCACGCGCACGTGCCATTGAAACCGAGGTGAACTCTCGCTCCTCTTTGAACTACCTTTACATTCATATGAGACATGGCTACTACCTCAACCGGAGACCCTATGTACCAAGGACGCGACCATGGAGAAGCAAGGGAACAAGGCCAAGCCATGGCGGAAGAGGAGCAAAAAAAAAGAAGAGAATACTGCCCCTGCTTTGCAGCCAGACGACCGGACTGCTACCCCGATGTCCGGGCTAAGCCCGGACGAAAGGATCACCTGGATAGCCGTCCGGCCTCAGCCCGGACGACTGGCTTGGCATCAGAAGCCTCGGCCGTCAACTCGGACGTCTGCCTTGCTATCCGGACATCCGGCACCTGGAGCGTGCCCTTCACCCAGCCAGCCCGACCTCGCACCTGCTTCAGCACCCGGATGTCCGGCTTGCACCCCAGACAGTCCGGCCTGAGCCCGGACATCCGGCCCCTGCCTGCGTGCAGCCCGACCCAAGAGGCCTTGTATCCATCTCATGTCCAATGAAATGGTTTCCACGCATGTCCAAGAAAAAGAGTATTAACGTACTTCAAATGTAATTGACAGGACAGTTGTTTATAAGGAGATCGAGACGCTCAGAAAATGTAAAATTAGGTGGTGTTTGGTTGAAAGGTCTTTATTTCGTACCATGCTTGCTTACTGTGAAGGGGATACATGACCAATTGTTTGGTTATGTTACCCCATAACCACAATAAATGTATTAGGAATAAACCCCAGGTCACACAAAGAGGGATGTATTCCAATTACATTACCCTATTTGAGTTAATTCCTTACCTGCTACCCACTGTTGATTTACATGATCTCTTTTCAGTGCAACTGAAACAGCCACTCTGTACTGGCTCAGCATTTAGGTCATCTAAGCTGCAGTACATTTTGACATATGCCAACAAGTTGTGTTGTGCAGCTTGCTAGTGCTTCAAGCTAATCCATGCCTCAGTGGGGAAGGGTATAGTGTACAAGTGATGCTAGATGTACCATAATTATCTGAATACATCATTCTTTTTGTTAAGAGTTAATTCCATTTTTTACGCCTAAGTTTGATATTTTTGACAGAATTTACCCCATTTAAGATGCGGTGAACTATATTATATATATCATCTTCGTGGCGCGCCATATAAACAATGATATGTATGTCCGACTTGTGAAAGCGCTAGAAGATTTAGAAGAGTAAAAACTGGCAGGAGTTTGGTTAAATGGAATACTTTCTCTTAAATGGGGTAAAATCTGTCACAAACCTGCAACTTAGGGGTAAAATATGGAATTTACTCTCATGTTAATGGCCCATTTTACATTGAAGACCAAATCAAATGATTGCCACAATTGATTATACTCATGAAATATTTATTCATTCAAATTTTACTAGGCACAAACATCATGATACCTAGGTCATTCGGCGACATAATTTTTGAATTTTAGGTCATCTACTGGATTAATATGCTACTTCATGAACATTAAGCAGCATCTGCTTATCTTCCATGTTGACTTGCGGCATTTACCAACTGTCAGCAGCTTAGTTGAGTCTCTATTTACAATATCATCATAAGACGGCTTCTAGAAACATACCATGACAAGATGACCTCTCTTTGACAAAGCCTTAGGCAAAGCTCCGGCAACATCCCCAAGTCCACCTGCAGGAGATTAAAAACATGGTTACAGCTTGTTAGAGTTGTGTCGAATATTGTGTATAAGGTAGGTTACAGTTGGACTTGTAGTTGTATTGTGTTTAGATAGGATATGGTGTCGTGTCCAAGTAGGACACTTGTATCCTAGGCCTCTCATATATAGTGAGGGTAGACACACGATGTAACCTATGCCAACATAATAGCACAGGTACGCAGGGGGAGCCGGCGGCGTGTGCCGGCGCCCAGGTGGCCGGTGTGCGGTATTGTGACGGTGTCACGGGGAGGAGCGCCCGTAGTCAGGCCCCGGGGATATAGCCATATCGGTGAACCTCGTTAACAAATCTCGGTGTCGTGCTCGTCTGGTTGCTTGGTCCTCGGATGATCGACGGTATGCCTCGGATTTATTCTAACAAGTGGTATCATGAGCAAGGTTCAAGGAGGTCGCGGATCATTGATCTAGAGGATGGATCGTCGTCAAGTTTCGGTACAAAGACGATGTGCGGAAGATGTTCCATGGTGGTCGTTGGGTGCGCTATCGACGAGATCAGGATAAGCATCAGGCAGCATTGGTGAGTTGCATCAGCGGGCGGCTAGATCGGTTCAGTCGATTGAAGCGGTGGCGGCATGTTCGAGAGGACTCGGCGAGATCGGTTCGATCGAATCGGTCGGCGCGTGGTACACGCGGATCAGCTGTGCAGTGGCAGGAATCCCGTGGCGACGAGTGGCATCGGCAAGTTGCCAGGCGGGGCTGGCTTGTGCAAGGCACGCTAAGGCCCAGGAGGGGCCTGCAGGCGTGTGGCTAAGGCGGCCCAAGGTGGCTGGTGTGGCTGCGCAGGATGCAAGGCGAGCGACGGAATAGGCCACGGCGCACGCGGCTGGGACGGCTGGTGAGGCCGGCGTGTGTGGCATGCGTGCAGGAAGCTGTGGACGAGTGCATGCAGGAAGCTGCAGAATGTGCAAAGCCAAGGATACCGTGAGATTTGTTTGAGAAAAAAAAGTGCAGTTCTTGTGCGTGCATGGAGGAGCTATTAGTGGACCAAGACAAGAGAAGGAATTGTGCGGAGGGATCACTTGGTCAGGTTTGCATGGAAATTTCTCTTGTGGGTCATGTTTGCTAAGAGTGTTTGGTGCGTGTACGTTAAGGACGACAGCACGCGCATAAGGCTTGGAGGAGCCTGGAGTGCGCCGTGGCAGGATCATGCAAACACAGGGCGTCAAGCAATGCATAGAGATGTGCGGACGGACACGATGCAGGGTGGAGCATGGTTGCAGTCGGACAAGTTCGGCTGGGTCAGACTAGATAGTCTGACGGATCGACTTGGATGTTGGTTGGTACAGAAGACGGTGGTGGAATCGGCGACGATGCCATAAGAGCGTGATGCTGATGGTGACCGACTTCTGGGCGTGGAAACACGTGGTGCACATGCCCGAGGCTTGTGTGGTTTCGACAAGACTATGGCGCGGGGTTGATTCAAGACGGTGCACATGAGAGCTTGAAGTCGACGGGGCACGAGGGTGGACCAATCATCTACCATGGAGTCATGTTGAAGGTGGAGCTGGATTGAGGGGCTACGGTGTAAGGATCCAGAGAATCGAAGCCTATTCAGTGGGGAAAAGCGAGTGACACGCAGTTCGGACTGGAACCCGGTGGTCTGATGGAAGCGTGAAACGCGTCATCGGTCGGTGATGATCGATGGTACTCTGCAGTGGGGGTTGAGTGGTGTGGTTTCGCGACCCTTGAGAGTCGACCGGGACAGCGGAGGCTCGACGCGGTAATAGCGGCGAGGCGTGCGGTATGCACGGGGCATGGAGACGGGCCAGGGCTCTGGTGGTCATACATGTGGTGAGACAACTGCGAATTTGACTCGGGATGACTATAAGCAACGGTGAAATTCCTTCAAGTTTCAGACAGGCGGTCAAGAAAGGAGCGGTGATGTTGAGTTCAGGTAACTCTTACGTGTGACACCCAATATGTGAGTTGTTCACTTTCACGCAGGTCAGTGATCAGTGTGTGATGGCGTTGGACGGATACTTTGGAAGTTGGGAGCACAGACTAGAGTAAAGAGGAACTTAATTTTGCTCGAGCATTGGCTGTGGTCAAGAAAAGAAGGGACTACAAGTTGCAGGTGGAGTCATATGGAGTCTTTGGAGTAGCAGCGGTGCTCATGGGATAAGCTCAAGTCCAATGTACATGGAAGTTTGATGCATTGACGAACTCAAGGTGGTGGAGAATATTCGCCAAGGTGGAGTTTGTTAGAGTTGTGTCGAATATTGTGTATAAGGTAGGTTACAATTGGACTTGTAGTTGTACTGTGTTTAGATAGGATATGGTGTCGTGTCCAAGTAGGACACTTGTATCCTAGGCCTCTCATATATAGTGAGGGTAGACACACGATGTAACCTATGCCAACATAATAGCACAGGTACGCAGGGGGAGCCGGCGGCGTGTGCCGGCGCCCGGGTGGCCGGTGTGCAGTATTGTGACGGTGTCACGGGGAGGAGCGCCCGTAGTCAGGCCCCGGGGATATAGCCATATCGGTGAACCTCGTTAACAAATCTCGGTGTCGTGCTCATCTGGTTGCTTGGTCCTCGGATGATCGACGGTATGCCTCGGATTTATTCTAACACAGCTCCCTTAGCAAGCCATTAGAAACGAAAATTAGCAGTGTCTTCAGGTTTGAAATCATGTGCAGCTATGCATACTTATTACTCCCTCCGTCTCATAATGTAAGATGTTACTACAACCAATACACTCATATATTGGTTGTAATAACATCTTATATTATGGGACGGAGGGAGTATATTATAGACTATAGAGCAATGAATTTGTGCTCACTCTTCTGATTACCAAACTGATTTTCAGCTTAATGATAACATCTGCACAGATTTCTTACGACCTCCAAAAATAGAAACAAAACAATGTGTACTAACAATTAGCAGAAGCTAACCCTTTTTTTTCTTGCAAAGAAAGCCCTTTAAGATATTCATGTTAAAACCTCATAAGCCTTTACAGAGTCGGTTTCAATGAAGTAGAGAAACATGGACAGCTATAGATTTCAACAAAAGGCATGGATGGACCATTTAACTTGTTAAATACTTCTGAATTTATCTTGTAGGAGAAGTAAACATGCATAGGAGCTCAAGAGATGAATCGGGAACTTATGGCTCAGGATGGGCGCCAAACTCAAGAATGAGGCACCACTTGGGAGTACGGTATCATTTGGTGAAGCTCCTTTAACTTTTTTTTGGAGGGGGTGGAAAGGGCTATCGAATAACTGAAAAAAATCCTCTTTAGATGGAAAACTGAAATGTAGTTCTACTTAAGTGCAAGCAACATGGGCCTGTGATGTTAATGGTTTAGGAGTTGATTTCAATCGGACATGTCGGATGCTTTTCTGAATATCCAATTCCAAGGTATAGCATGCATGCTCCTTTTACCAAGAGGAAAAGACTATCCAGATATAAGGATTTGCTGGGCATCCACGTAGATCACATCCAAACAAAATCCGTCGTGCCTTGCTTTCTGTGAACACCTACTCAATGACTGAGAAACTTTGTTTTTTTCGTGTCTGACTTGACTACGAGGACAGTGCAAGCCAATGCTCCGGGCGACAGCCTGACAAGAACAAATATCTAATTCGTCTAGTTATGAAGGAAAAAGTTTTGTAGAAACCGTGACTCTTCTAAACATTACGTGATGATAAATAAATTCATTCCTATGGTTAAATCCATGTCCTAATACTTGGTGTACTAAGCGAGGAGTACCTACAAGCTACTAGCGCAATTTTTTCTAAGATGACAGAGCCAGCCAGAAAGTAGCCAAGCTTGCTTCCAATTTTGTAGTTTAGAAGAGAAACTGTAGGGAAGGCCCTGACAAGAATAAAAGATTCTATAGTGATCCATTTGAATAGGTCTCAGGTGATGCTGCTCCGACGGCAAAACATTATCAAGACTACAGCAGCCATTAAATAGTGGCAATGAGTCGACGGCCCCTTTTCCGCTATGATGTGCTATTTAAAATAGTGGTAGGCCAGTAGCTAGTAGGTGTGGGGGTGTGCGCGTGTGTGTGTTCTTCTTGTTCCTTCAGGTATCACTGCAGTTGTCTTGATGAGCAATAGGATAACTTAGTATGCATGCACACATACCCTCCGTGTTTCTCCTATTCTTCCTCAATTATAGCTGTTACCAGTAACTACAGATGTGAACACACATATAACTTGAATAGGTAACACTCGTGGAAATATTAAGGTGAGAAACTAGAGCATAAAATACATATCCTCCAATATGTAAACCAGAACATTTTGCACCAAAAAGGAAATTATACACCCCTGAGAAATACTTAATTAGCACCGGGAATATAACCAAAAGGGGTATTATTTTCGGGCCACATTCTCCGGTTCTCCATCCTAGAGGTGCTAAGTTTGAATCTGGAATTTTACAAATAGAAAAGCTTGAAAAAATGAAGCTTTATTAAATCGTTCTTGCCTGTTTTCGACCAAGGAGCACATTCTGCAGCTACCAATATGATATTCATAACATCTACAGCGGCCGAAGAAGATGAATTGTCATCTATTTCCTCAGTAACTGAGTGTCCCTTTTCATAATCCTGCTCCATACCATTAACAGATTGTGGTTCATATACGTTAGTAGCAGCACTAGAGAAAGTTTTGTACAGATAGTGAACATAGCTGACCTTGCTATATGATCCATTAACATCAGTGTAGGAAAGTTTGTCTTCTAAACTTCCATAGTATTCATGCTGGCCACTAATAGATTCTCCATGAGTTGAACGGATTTCGGATTTCTGTGAACGCCTGTCAAGGTACATCTGAAGATCATAGCCAATCTCTTCGCCCTCTGAAACTGCATCCGAGCGTGAAAAGGGACTACCACTGAATGGCTCTTGCCCATTATGAATGGAGCTGGCCTCAATAACAGAGATGAGCTTCTTCTTTTCTGATATCTGAATAAGCTGGCAGTGTATTACAATTCAATCCATGATGGTTCCACAAATTATAAATTACACCATAGATGAATGAGCTCCACATAGTATGGTTTTAATTCAAGTAGATAAACAGTAACACATACATAATGTAATGTGAATTCCATACCATTCATGCAAACATAAATGTAAGAGCACTAATAATTCCAGAAATGGGCTAATGATGAGCATGGATAGTTAAAAAGTACACCGCAAGGTTATTCACAAAGATATTGTGCATTCCAATCTGTAACCAATATGTATTCAGACACATTTCCGATTCCAGCAAGAGTGTTAAATTGACACCTTACGCAGTAGATTCTGTGTGTCAGCCTTTCTTGTTTCCTTCTAAAGGTGGTGGTGCAAATTACTCACTGGTAACACAGACCCTGTTAGGCTGTTACCACCAGCTACCCCTGACAACCATGTTCCTCAGAACTGTAACCATTCCAGTTGTGCACAAACCGTTGCTTAGAATGCACATGCGGTTCAGTCTAGCGTTCAAAATTCAGGCTAAAAAGAGTTACTAGTTCAACTTCCGGGAGGCACGGCGGACGGCAAGGGTATGCCATTTTGACTTCACTTGGAGGTCTAGCATTTTTCAGTGTAATTGAGGAGCTTAATGGGTGATCCACGGACTAAAAGTAAGACATAGTTTAGGACGTTCATATCCGCATTTATCATTTTAACAAAAGTGCTCCCGTACATGTACCTAAAAGACATTTATATATGAAGGAAGGTCATGCGATGTGATAATGCTATGTCCTTAACAAAATCCACTAGGCAGTTTAGTCTCACTAATCGTTGTAGCCGTGCCATGAGCTGGATTAGAGCTTCAGACAGAAATGTTGGGTAACAATATTTTTGAAAAAATGAATACTAACATTTTTTAAAGTGATCCACCAGATGAGAGCATGAAGAAGAAATGCATTTGATTCGAGAAACGAAACGTGCAAAGGATACCTGATCAAGTAGATCTCTGTGCATCGCCAGCACCTCTCTGCTCTTCCGGATGGTGGCGCGGAGGGCCTCATTGGAAACACGGACATCGTCGTCGTCGTGGTCGGCATCCTCGCCAACTTGATTCACAGCGTCGTCATGTGCCCCAGCGGCGCATAAACACTTTCTCGACCCCCTTTTAGTCCAACCCCTGAGTACCGCCGGCCACCCATAGACACCATTGACGCAAAACCTCACCTACGAAGCACACAGCGCACAGAACAGGAAATCAGCAGTTCAGCACCTCCCGCAGGAAAATATCATGAGATATGAATGAAGTCCATAAAGGAAAAACTGCGATGAGGCACCGATCGCATCAATCTCGAACGCGGCGAACAGCTAGGGTTGACCCGAGTCGTGAATCGGCTGTCCAAGTAGACGGAGAGCAACAAGATGACTAAGAAGCTCTGATGACGCGTTCCAAGCGAATAGGAGGAGGAGAGGCGATGCTCACGGGTCGGGCGGCCGCTGGGATCGCTGGGCGGCGGCGGGGGACTCGAACAGACGGGCGCTGGAGTCGGCCGTGGCAGCGGAAGGAGGAGGAGGGGGAGGGGGAGGCCGCGGCGGTAGGACGGGGAGAAGCGCCGTGGCGAAGCAGAGCCGCGGGGGGCGGGGCGAAGAAAGAGGAGGAGGTGGCCGCCATTGGAAGACTCCTTCCACTGGAAGGCTCCCACTCACTGCCAGCGTGCTGCTGCTCGGTGCTGATCCGAATTTCCGGGTGTGAGGTGAGGGGGAAGACTGGAGAAGAAGGCGGTGGGGTCGGAGGTTTCTCTGGTTCACTGGCTACTCCTCGTGTTTGGACTCACTTTGGACTTTGGAGTTGGGTTTTGTTCAATTTGGGTCTTTCTCCTAGCATTTGCAGCTGCTGAGTCGCCGGCCACGAGTACGAGAGCACCACCAACGTGTGGCGTGCGTGCATGTCACGTTCTTTCTCCTTTATTGGTTTTCTTAGTATTTTGTGTCAAATTTTAACTATAGATTTAATTAATAAAATGTTTTTTTGCGGGTCGCAAAAAATAGTATCATTAGAAACTATGTTCATATACGAATCCAACGATATAATTTTTATGACATGCATTAACATTTTGTCAATTAAATCTATGATCAAATTTTGGCACAAAAAACGAAGAAAACTAAGAAACCAGTGCGGAGGTAGTAAAACTTCTCGCGTTTCTTTTCGTGGCATGGAGAAAAGTATCCTCAGAGCAGAGTAGGGCATTTGGGTGACGGGGCTCTATGGAGCCATAGTTTAAAAAACCAAACCGAAAATTGAACCAGAAAGGTTGTCGATTCAGGTTTTTACCGGTCGGACCGTTGGTTCACCGGTTCGATTGTTGGTTTTTAAGCAATAAAATAATATATGTTAAGTAATATATGTACTAATATAGTGTGAAACAATGGTCAAATAAAATTATTTTCATGTAGTGGACAACAAAGTAACATAACCGAGTTGGTTATTGGGCCATGGGCATTCCTGCGTACTGCTCACACGTTCTGGGGTTGAATTCCACTTCTCCCAATTTCTATTAAAAAATCCTGTTTTTTCCCGGTTCAATGGCCTGGTTTTTTCATCGGTTTTCTCCGGTCTGATTGCAGAACGGTCTTATTAGCTTAAACAATCGTTGAGGCCGCCGGTCTCCGTTTTTTCCGATTCGACCGTCGGTCCGCTCCGGTTTTTTAAACTATGCATGGAGCTCTTTATCTTTTAAAATTTTGAAATTCAAACTTTCTAATTAAAAAAGATTCTGAAAACAATTATGCAATATAAAAGGATTAAATGTATAAGTGTGTAAAAATGCAAGATGAAATATTTTGAAATGCGACCAGTGCAAAAAAGACAAATTTCTGGGCTCTGAGGATGAATAGTATCATGTGTTGAAAAGCCCTATATTTTTTTCACAACTCTCATTTCAACGTATTTTCTCCTAAAAATTTGCACACATGTACGTTATGCCTCTATGTATATCTGTATTTTTCAAAAAAAATGTAAAGAATATGAGTTTTGACGAATTTTGAATTTTACAAGGGATGCCTCGAGGGAGCTCGACCTCCAAAAGCAATTTTCTCTCAAAGCAAGTATATATAAACTGACCATAAGAAATGCTATATTAGATTATTTTTTTACCTGGTTGAAAGAAAGAGAAAAAAGCGGACTATAAACTTACACCTGGTTGTAGCATGTGTTTTAACAACTTTTGTCAGAGAAAAAGGTGGACCACGTATTAATGACATGGCATACAAATATGACTCACTATTGTATTAGCGGGCTATTAACTTCACATATCCCATTGTGGGTTGTACTATTAACCATGCTCTTACGATAAAACAATAAAGCTCTCTTCCCAAGGCAGGTTGATCATTTTTGTTCCGATTACTGTTCTTTTTGATTCTGACATAGGATGTTCTCCAAAAGATATAGTGTAAGGCATTTCTTCCGGCAAGCATGCTCGCCGCCGCACCCTACTGGTGTTGGACGGTGCCTATTCACTGACGCTCTAGATGATGTGTCGGTCGAAGAGGTGTTGCCGCCTCATCTGTCGTGGTTCTAACTCTGACAGTGATGTAGGGGGTAAGTATGGAGAGGCGATGTCTTAGCTATGGAGAGGTTGTAAGGACGCAAGGTTTACGAGTTCAGGCCCTTCTCGGAGGAAGTAAAAGCCCTACGTCTCGGAGCCCGGAGGCGGTCGACTGGATTATGTGTGTATGAGTCACAGAGGTGCGAACCCTTGTCTCGGAGGAGGGGGTGGCTTATATAGAGTGCGCCAGGACCCCGGTCAGCCCCCGTTACGAAGGGTTCAATGTACATTAAGGTAGGGCATTACTGATAACGCTAATAATAAAGTGCTATGATGACCATAAAAGCTACTTAATGACCGACCGTTAGCGTGCAGAGTGACTTTAGGTTTCCTGGCCGTCGAGTGGTTGGATCTTGGTCGAGTAATTGCTTCTTGGTCGAATGTCTTCGAGTCTGTCGAGTGGAACACCTCCAAGTCGATTGAAAGGTGATTTATTCTAGAGGCGTCCTTGGGTAGGGCAGTTAGGACAGGTCCGTGACCCTACCCTAGGTACATAGCTTCATCATTAGCCCCTGAATGGATCGAGGTTTGAGTGGGGAAGGAGTTGAGGACTTCTCGGACTCGTTTTTTATGCCGTGAGCATATCTTGTTTCGGATCAACGGACCTGAGTGATGACAGCAACTCCCTTTTCAGTCGCCTTGATCCATTCTTAATTCTTCGCCGAGTGAGTTTCTTTACTTGTAAGGCTCCGAGTGACGGTGCGGAGGAGATCTTTGGTCTGACAAGTTATTTGCTGCCCGCAGATTTAGTGGGATCCGAATTTTGGGAAGCGCGCGGGACGGGGGAGGCCGCAGTAATCAGACGAGATAGAGCGGAGCCGCCCCGATCCCCGCGCTACCTTTTTTGCCACGTATCACTCGTGCGGTCGTTACGGGTTTTGACAGAGCCATCTGGGCCTACTTGTCAGCCACTCGGAAGCGGCCTCATATAAGGCGTTGGACCGGAGTCTCCCGAACAGTGCGCCCCATTATCTCTTTTCCTCCTCATGCCTCTTCTCTGCGCTCGCTCTTGCTCCAGCGCCACCGCGCCACACGCGTCTCGTCGGCGACAATGGTGAAGGAGAAGACAGCGGCTCTGGAGCGGGCAAAGAAGGCGACGGCGAGGTCAAAGAGGAAGGCGACGAGCCGGGGCGGATCTTCCTCGCGGACTGGCCTGCCAAAGGGTTGGATCCAGGGCGACTGGATCCACTCGAGGATCTCCCAAGAAGACCTCGACGACCTGGCCGAGGGAGGGCTGATCCCCTACGACTCGGCGCGGCTTCCGGGGAAGGAATCCGAGCCGCAACCCCGAGAGGGTGAGCGCGTTCTTCTTGCCACCCACGTCGACCGTGGGTTTTCCTTGCCTCCTCATCCTTTCTTCCGAGGGTTTCTGAACTTCTTTGGGGCTCAACTCCACCATTTTACCCCCAACTCAATCGTTTATCTTGCCGCGTTCATTTCCTTGTGTGAGAACTTCTTGGGTTGTCGACCTCACTGGGGTCTTTTCAAGCATATTTTCACTTGTTGCTCCCAGACAGTGAAAAAGGCTAATCCGAGTGACGAGAGGACCCAAGTGATCCAGATGTGTGGGGGTCTTGGCATCCAGACAAGGGGAAAAAGCTCCTTTCCGGACATGATTCTTCCCGATTTAGTTCGCGGATGGCAGTCGACCTGGTTCTACTGCAAGGACCAGTCGACGCCAGGGCAATCGACTGGCCTCCCTCCCTTTACCATGGACCGAGTGGAAAAACCCTCCCCTTTAAAGGTGCTCCCGGAGGAGAAGGCGCAAGTGAAGGTGTTGGTCAACCGAGTGGTCCAGCTCATTCGTGATGGGGTCACTGGTATGGATCTCTTGGAGGTCTTCCTTCAGCGGCGCATCCAGCCTCTTCAAGCCCGAGACCATCCGATGTGGATGTATTCGGGTCTAGAAGAATCCACTCGGATCTACCCGGAGGAGGTCGATGACGACACGCTGGAGAAGTGGCTGTCGAGCATTACCGGGAACAAGGACAATCCCAGAGGAGCCAGAGAGTTCTCCCATTCGACCAGTCGCGTGCACCAGAGCAGGTCTGATTCTGAGTTTTTGCTTGTAATCCGAATACACTCGCGCAGCTGTCTGTATTGCGTCGACTGACTTTGTTCTCCCTGCTTTCTTTTAGGCCATTACTGAAATATATTCGATGCCCAACGGGGAGCAAGAGCAAGCTCTGGAAGGCGAGGCGAGTGGTGGCGAAAGTGGCGAGTGGACTTCTGATGGTGAAGGGGGTGGTGGAAGTGACGATTCAAGTGATGGGGAAGAAGTCGAGTCGCCTCCTCGCATAGAGAGACGATCCAAGCTTGACCAAGAACGGCCGAGTGCCCGCGACAAGGCAACTGCTCAGGCTGGCCAGTCTTCGAAGCATCCTCGGGTCTCTTCACCAACCCCGACTGAGAAGGCGCCAAAACACCCCAAAGTTGCAGAGCCGAAGACTCGGAAGGCGCTGCCAAAGATCAAGATCGATATCCCTGTCACCTCCGTGTGAGTGTCTCTCCTTGTATTCACTCGACGCTCTGCGCTGTTTGTTTTTCTTGTTTTAACTGGACGAACTTTGGAATTGTTAGCGCTGCCACTTCCGGGACCTCAGCTTACAGGGATGATGATGAGGTGATGGAGGATGCGGTCACTTCTAATCCAGGTATAATTTCCGCCATACTATCTTTCTTTGGTCGATTCAACTACATCGTGCATCACTGGGTGACGTGATTTTGGTAATTTGAACTTTGCACAGCTCCCAACATTATTGACCTCCCTGATGATGATGAAGAGCCCGAGAGGTCTTTGACGAGGAAGAGTAGGCGAGCTCCTGCAAGTGAGGCGCTACAGTCGACGCCGAGGGCGGAACCAGTCGTTCAGGACACTGGTGACGTCAATCGGGATTCTGTTACCTTCGCGGAGCCCCTGTCGAGTGCCTTGCCTTCTTCTTCGGATGCTCAGGCCCCTGTCGACCCGCCTTCAGTTTTTGCGACCCATCATGTCCCAGAGGACGAGGTGAATGCTGCTAGGGAAGCCATACGCCAGGCGGGCATTATGATGGAGAAGATGAAGATG